CATCAACGCACCTTGATTTTGCTCTCCCCAAGTCTCTCATCTTCCTTGTCTCACTCGTTCCTATCTTCGAGTGGCTTTGGGAGAGGTAACTCGTGGTCTGTTTACATTAATCAATCTACAGGAGCACTTCTGTTGTCGTTGTTGACAGGGCGATAAGTTATGTTGACTATTATTCCGTCGTTCATGTCTATCCTTGATTCATGATGATTGTGTGAGTGGGCTCTCTGGTGAGTTGTTCAGAGCCGCGATTTGCTGGTCATCGCATCTCTCGTCAATTTGGCTGCATGGGGTCCATCTCCATCTCGACCTTGAAACTTTTCCTTCTGCCATAGCCAGGGCATCTTCAAGCATCTTGGTTACTTGCTCGTGCTGATCATGAGTACCAGCTCCGGGCGGCTTATTGTCCCTCGCTGGATACCGTGTTGTCCAGATGCAAATCAGCGGAGTCGCCACGGCATCTGATCCTTCGTCTTCTGACCGGAATCGCTCCGTCCGAACCCTACTATACAGTTCCTCGTGTAATGTTCCAGACCCTGCAGACGAGTTAAATAGGGTACTAGAGGAATTGACTCGGATTATCCCATGTCGATCCCCTTTCGTTCCTCGCCGCCGCGCCGTCTTCCCAACCACCGAGACGACGACAGTCAGATCATGTCCTCCGCCGGGTGACGCATTCGCTTTCGTCTCGCCTCCTGCTCGGCGCCCCTCCGCACTGCGGCCACCTTGTCGCGCCATCGCCTTGCCCAACGGGCCCCCCCCCCCCCCCCCCCCGTGCTCTCCGGGTTTATCCGGAATATCCTGCCTCAGCTCCGGAGCGGAGAACGGTCAGCTTTGCCTGCGAAATCGACCGCGGCAAGAACGCCCGCTTCGGCGTCTTGTCGGCGGATGTCTGGCCATCGGCATTAGACCCCCCTCTCAAGGTTGCTTTCCCTGAGAACTTGCCCGGCTTTTCGACCCACTTGTTTGAGAACCGCCCTTGGCCGCTGGGGTTCGTCGTGAGGGTGCGGCGGTGCCGTTCTGTACTGCAGCGAAGTTGACGCCACTTTTTTTCGTTAGACTAAAGGTTGGTATCCTCACGGCGTAGGGATTTGAACCCTATTTTATGATTGGTGGCCCCCCCTCCCGTACCCTGCGAACGAATCAGAAGCCGGCGTTGAAAGATTTGCCGTAGCTCTCCGAAATCGCGGGTTTGACGGCGTTCCCCGCGCTCCGCGCGTTAGGGAGCGGGCAAGCTATCCCTCACCCGTGTTAGCCCTCTCTTCTATACCTTTGAAGTCACTTTCCCGCCATTTCCGTTCTTCCCATAATTCATAAATCGTCACGCGGCTGATTACGCGTTCTTGCGCCACCATAGCCCGAGGCTTGAAGTGATGTCGCCGGCCGGCGATTGCCATCCTCGCCGTTACCCGGGAAACCTGACCGCCGAATCGACCGTGCGTTTGCCCGTCGGTTACGATGAGAGTCCGTCGGTGCGTCGTGTCTCCGTGCTTGCCGTATCCGGCAAAGGATTGGTCGCCGGATTGGTGTTATCGGCAGTAGGAGACCACCGTCGACATGGTGTCTACGAATTGTTCATCGTCAAGATCTGACTTACACAAGGTCCCCGGGCGCCGACACGGCAATGGGCTCGCTCTCGTTAGCAAGCTTAGTTCATGAGAAGTCGAGGCGGGGGATGTTGGCATCGCGGGCGTAGACCACCATGTGATAGAAGAGTCAGAACTGCCTCGCCGGAGGCGGAGACGCGGCAGACGTTATCGGCATAGGATGGTGATAAGTTGGGAGCGGGTTGATCCGAGACACTTTCTGCTCGTTCCGGCTGTCCGGTGCCCGTTTGGAGGTAGGCGACGCGCAGGAATATGTCGTCAGGGCTTAAGGCTCTCGCGAGTGAGTATCGAGGGGAGTGGGAGATTCAAATTCACGATAGATAAAGCGGGCAAGGAAGAGAACTCAGTGATAAAATATTTTCATACCCTTAAATTGGATTGTCTTATCCAGGACACCGTTTCATAATAATATCGTGTTCGACATATTTCAATACAACCGTGAGGAGAGAGCTTGAGGAGAGATTGCGACAGGGATTAATGAGACTTGCTATTACTTATGGGATATCCTTGAAGGGGTGCGGAGTAGAGCGCCAAGATATAAAGTAAGTTATACGTAGGATGGTCGCTGTCCGTCCGCCGGAGCGCTGGATTCAATCAGGACTAGGAGATCGCTGTGCGACGTTAGTCTTGTCTGATCAAGATACGCTTCCCCATTTGTGGGATCTATGTAGGAAGCGACAATAGGTGTGATGCCCGGGAGTTCGGTCGGCGATTTTACTTTCGAGAGGGGTCTGCACCGCAGGGCGCGTTGAGGCGGTGGCGGTGTTTTAGAGGACTCGGTGGGCTCATGCACATGACGGTAGCGGCTGGGCGTAAGATGACCCGGCGTGCCCTCGTGGCGCAGAAATGGGAGCGAGAGGGATGCCAACTTTTGCAGGATGGCGCGCCTTGACATGGAGAGAGAAGGAGGAAGAGCCAGCGTCCCGCTGGGAAGAGAGAAGGGGGAGATCTTGAATTAGAGGAGGAATGGAGGGGCACGGACGGACGAAGGCTGCAGTGCTGGCAGGCGAGCTTACGGCCGTCCAGTAGCGGAGTCGGCAGGAGGTCATGATTTCGAGCGTTAGAGGGTTGGAGGAGGAGGATCGGTGGTGGTGGCTTATGGGGAGGAGGAGGAGTGAGGAGGAGGAGGGATATGAAGAGATTTACTCACAGCGAACAGCGATGGAACCTGCTGTAGAGGCGGGACAGTTGTTGAGTAGTACCACTTGGTGTCTTTTAGGATGTTCGTACATTTGGGAATAAGTATGTGAGTATAGAGAGAGGTATTTTAAGTTTTGGTCGTTTATTTTCTCTTCTCCCTAATTATAGTTTTTTTTGTTTTTTTTTAATGATGCGTGTGAACCACACCTCAGACTATTAAATAAGAAAGGCGGTAGGGTGTTAAATATTTTCTTCTTTGCTAAGTTGGTTATTAGTTTCCTCTTCGTTTGCAACTTTGGGCCTTCGTGTACGTTTAACTTTTAGTTCGTTTTATTATTTATTGTGAGTATCTAGATTTAGGAGATTGGTTTGCGTTATAATATTATGTGAACAGCATGGGGAAGCGCCGAGGATGAAATGCTTAGTAGTGACTCGGTTGAAAGTTGGAAGCTGTGTTGTTAGCTTATTTTATTGTGGCGGTAGTGGTATAATGAATTTAACTATAAATAGGAAGGGTTAGGTTCGGTTACATATCTCTTCTTGTTTTTGCGAAATATCTTAACGTTAAGCTTCTGTTGGAAAGATTGGCTTCTTCGATGGCTACTTCTGCTTATATGCCTCCTTTGTCAGAGTTTTTTGACCCCCATCCTTTTAGAGTTTTCATATTTTTTTTTTAAAAAAGGGAAATTATACAGGAAAATGATGAGGCTCCTCGGTTTAGTTGCTTTGTTATATGGAAGCCAGCCATCAGGTGTGAA